CCATGCCCCGCAGCCGCCGCTCTTCCTCCTCCTCCTCGTCCTCAGCCTCGAGGACCTCCAGCTCCCGCTCCAGCTCCCGTTCCAGCTCCCGCTCCCGTCGCGGTGGGGCCCACTACCGCACCAGCCGCCACGCACACTCCCGCTCTCGCTCCTGGTCCCGCTCCCGATCGCGTTCCCGGCGCTACTCCCGCTCCCGCAGCCGCGGCCGGCGCCACTCCGGTGGGGGCTCCCGCGATGGACACCGCTACTCCCGCTCACCCGCCCGGCGTGGCGGCTACGCACCCCGCCGCAGAAGCAGGTGGGCAGCCCAGCCCGGTACCGTGGGATCCCGCGTCCAGTAGGGCCCAGGATGTGCTGGGAGGGGGGCGAGGGAGAGGCCTCGGCAGACTCCCACCATCCCTGCCTCCAGGGCCAAAATGGGCCCCGGGGGCAACACTGGCCTGCTGACCCTGCAGGACAGAGTTGCATGGCGCTTCCCTACCCCGCCTAAGCACGGACTATGCCTGGGCCACCTGGGCCCTGCGCTGTCCTCACCCTACTTCTACCGTGCCACCCAGGAGTCGCTCCCGCTCTGGAGACCACTACCGGCGGGGGGCCCGGGGCCCCCGGCACCACAGCAGCAGCCGCAGCCGCAGCAGCTGGTCCCTCAGCCCATCCCGCAGCCGCAGCCTGACCCGCAGCCCCAGCCACAGCCCCAGCCAGCCCCACAGCCGCAGCCCCAGCCGCAGCCGCAGCCACTCGCCTTCGCCCCCGAGGGAGAAGCTGACCCGGCCAGCAGCGTCCCCCGCTGTGGGCGAGAAGCTGAAAAAGTGAGTAGAGAGGACACCAGCATCAGGTGGAGGGCCCCACCCCGCCCCCCACTGCGGGCTTCTGAGGGATGGGGGTTCCCCACTGGCCAGACTGGGGCTCGTGGGGACACAGAGGTCCTGGAGCGCCTTGGTGGTGGGAGGCCAGTTGCAGCCGTGGGTCAGGTGGCATGTGTTTTCTTCTCCACCCAGGACTGAACCTGCCGCTGGTAAAGAGACAGGAGCTGCCAAAGTCAGTAAGAATTTGGAACTCGCCCGTCTAAGTCCCGCCAGCAGCAGTGCCTGAGCTGGGCCCGATGGGCCTGTGGGGGGGCCCGGGGAGCTGGGAGAGCCGCCCTGGGATGGAGAAGGGAGGAGACAGAGGCTTGCCCTTTCCCCGTATCCCCTCCCCACCTCTGTACACCGGCCGCAGCTGTCCCAGAGCCTCCCGGAGCCTTGTGGCTGTGGTCCCATCTGCCCCTCCCCCGCTTCCCCAAAGTCCCAGGCTCTTGGTGAGGTGGCTTTTGGGGGGCTCTAGGACTCACCCCTCTCTGCCTCTTTCCCTCCCCGCCAGCCCAAGCTGACGCCGCAGGAGAAACTGAAGCTGAGGATGCAGAAGGCACTAAACCGGCAGTGTAGGTCCCACCCTGGCCCTGGGGAGTCCCGAGCCCCCCGGGCGGTGCCTCAGGGACAGGGCTGTGTCCAGGGTGGAGGGCCAGCGGAGCCCTGGAGGCCCTTCAGCCTGTGTCCTCCATGTCCTCTACAGTCAAGGCGGATAAGAAGGCGGCCCAGGAGAAGATGATTCAGCAGGAGCACGAACGCCAGGTTAGCCCCGGGGGGGACAGGAGGGGCGTGGCTGCGCCCTGGGCCTGGCCTGGCCTGGCCTGACCAGTCTCTGCTGCAGGAACGGGAGGACGAGCTGCGCGCCATGGCCCGCAAGATCCGCATGAAGTAAGGCTCCCTCCCCGGCCCTGCTCTCTCCCTGACCCCTTGGCAGCCTCCTCCCCGTGACCCCCTGATTCTCACCTCACCTGGGGACAGCCCCCACCGGCCTGCTGTGAGCCAGGGGAAGCCGCTCCACCCCTCACAGGACCCACCGATGGGGTGCAGAGTGGCCCCTGGCTGCGGGGAGGCCTGCTGCCTGTCACCCTGTGCTTCCTGTACTCACGACTGCCTAGCGCATGCCCATTCTGGGGCCACTGTGGCTGTGCTGTGTGCCAGCCTCAGACAGTGCAGAAGGTTTGAGCAGTGGGGAGCACGCCTGTAACCCCCATGCTCTGCAGGTAGAGGCAGGACGAGCACTTCAAGGCCTGCTCAGCTACATGCTGAGACCCTGTCTCTAAAGCAAACAAGCAGTGGCAGAGTGCGGAACGGCCAAGCAGTCGGGGTTTGCCCCACTGGGCCTTTTCCTATCTGAGCCTTGGTTTGTGGGCCTGCTCATTCCCAGGCTTGGGAATGGAAGGGAGTAGTTCACCCTCCCTGTGCCAGCCACTGGGGAGGGGGGCTGTGCCAGCCATTGGGGGGGCGGTCCTTATGTTTCCCAAAGCCCACAGGTGCTCACCCTGCCCCCTGGTTGCCTCCCCTTTCCCCACGCAGGGAACGGGAGCGTCGAGAGAAGGAGAGGGAAGAGTGGGAACGCCAGTACAGCCGCCAGAGCCGCTCACCCTCGCCCCGCTACAGTGAGTGTCCCCCCAGCCACAAGGCGTTCAGAAAACTAAAGCTGAGGGCTGGGATGTAGCTCAGTGGCAAAGCGCTTGCCTAGCAAGTGCAACGTCCTGGGTTCGATCCCCAGTACCAAAAAAGAAAAGACAAAAAAAATACAGTTAAAAAAGAAAACTAAAGCTGAGGCAGGAGTGTCAGGTCCGAGGCCAGCCTGAGCAGAAGAGTATCAGACTGTCTCTGGAATCACCAGCCAATAGTTGGGCTGGAGATGGGGCTCAAAAGTGCTAGAGCTCCAGTTGAACGAACAGGCCAAAAACTGCCAAACATTTTTTTGTAAAAATTAAACTGTGTATCTGGGCACTGATGGCTCACACCTACCATCCTAGCTGCTCAAAAGGCTGAGATTGGAGGATCACAGTTGGATGCCAACCTGGGCAGGAAAGTCTATGAGATTCTTACGTCCAATAAACTACCCAAAAAAGACAGAAATCGATGGGATTTGCGGCTCATGCCTGTAATCCTAGCTACTCAGGAGGCTGAGATCTGAGGATAGCAGTTCAAAGCCAGCCAGGGAAGGAAACTCCGTGAGACTCTTATCTCCAATAAACCACTCAGAAAACCAGAAGTGGCACTGTGGCTCAAGTGGTAGAGCACTCGCCTTGAGCTGAAGAGCTGAGGGACAGTGCCCAGGCCCAGAGTTCAAGCCTCACGACCGACAAAAAAAAAAAAGAGAGATAGTCTGTACCCAGGGGTTTGGGACTCTCGCCTGGGCAACCATGGGAGAAGCCCTGCTCATGTAGGGTCACCCAGACCACGGGCCTTGTCTGCAGGAGTTTGCCTTAACAGTGCTTGGGGCCCAGAGCAGGTTGTGTGAGTGGTGCAGGCGTGGGTGTGGGTGCCTCAGCACATGGGTGGATTTCTGTGGGGACCCTGGCCTTTGGGACCCCACTCTGGTGTAGTGGTCTTAGTGCTTGGGGCCCAGAGCGGGTTGTGTGAGTGGTGCAGGCGTGGGTGTGGGTGCCACAGCACATGGGTGGATTTCTGTGGGGACCCTGGCCTTCGGGACCCCACCCTGGTGTAGTGGTCTTGTTGTCCACCCTCCTTTCCCCTTTGCAGGTCGAGAATACAGCTCTTCCCGGAGGTGAGGACCCCAGTCCCCATCCCCACCCCGACTTCATCCCTGACAGAGATGAGATCCCAGCCCCACTCCTCCTTCACCCTGCTCCCCTGCAACTCCTCCCTCACCCTGCACCCCTGCAGCTGGCAGGGCTGGTCCTCCCTGCTGCCACCGGAGTGTGGCCCGGGCATGCTGAGGCGCGCGCACCCTCACAGGCTTGCCCTTCTCTCCACAGGCGCTCCCGGTCCCGCTCCCGCAGCCCGCACTACCGCCACTAGGCATAAGAGCCCAGCGTGCGGGGTCACGGGTGGCCGAGCTGCCGTTGCTCTCTAGTGAAATAAAAGTATATTTAATGCCTTTCTGGGCCTCCTGTCATGTTGGGGCCTCAAGAGCAGGTGCCCTCGTGGCCAGGCCTGGGTATCTACTGCCTGATTCAACGAGGGTGCAGACCTGCTGCCCAGGGCCTCTGGGGACAGGTCCGGGCCGCTCCCCACCCTCGCCCGGCCCCTGCCCTGGCCTCACCCACCCCAAGAACTGGGCGCGCGGCTTTCTGTGCCAGTCCTGCTGTGCCCCAGGCACTGGGGACCAGCCTCCCCCTCACTCCCCCCCCCTCCAAACCGGTCTGTCCAGCCGTCCACCCCGCAAAGGGGACGCCTTCCACCCCAAGAGAGCCAGAGGCCAGGCACGTGGGAGACAGGGGAGTACTTTTATTGGCAGGAAGGCAAGGCAGGGATGAGTGTGGACAGGGTCCCCCCCCCCCGCTCAGGCCACCCTGGGGTGCTTCTGCCTCAGGTGCCTGTCCAGCGTGGCACGCAGGCCAAAGGGCACAGCACAGAGCGGGCACTCGTAGCGGGCACAGTCGGGCCCGGGGCCGTGCGTGCGGCGGTGTCGGTTGAGCTTGCTGCTCTGTGCACATGTGTACGGGCACTGGCTGCAGGCATACGGTCGCTCCCCGGTGTGCGATCGTCGGTGCACCGTCAGGTTGCTGCTGCTGCTGAAGTGACGCCCACAGAACTCGCAGCTGCCCCCAGGCCGGGGCCTCTTGCCCTTGCTCACCGCCTTGGGCATCTTCTTGGGCTCAGCACTCTGGCTCTTGTTGGTGTCGGCACTCTGTCCTTGGGGGACAGGATCCCATCCATCCCCACCAGGGCCTGCCTGGGCCCCACTGCTGGGCGCGCCGGGCTCCTGCACGCCTGCTGTGGCTGCAGCCCCTGTGCCCTGGGCACCAGGGCTTGGTAGGGCGCTGGCCGGGGCAGCGGCGTGGGCTGCGGGCTCAGGTGGGGCAGGGGAGGCCTGCTCAGGGCCTAGGATGGGCAGGGGCCGGTGCGTCTTCTTGTGGCGGTTGAGCTTGCTGCTCTGTGCGCAGGCGTAGGGACACTGGTCGCAAGCATAGGGCCGCTCACCAGTGTGTGAGCGCATGTGCACCTTGAGGTTGCTGAAGGAGCTGAGGGTCTTCTTGCACACTGAGCAGGTGGGGGTCCTCCGGTCGGTGCCACTGGGGCCAGGGGACTTGATCTCTGCTGGGCGCTCCACCTGCGTGGACATGGCTGCAGCTACCTCAGCCAGGCCCAGCAGAGGGGCCTCCGGGGACTCCGGCTCCGTCTGGTAGATGGACAGCCCGTGGTCCCACTGCGCATGGCGAAGCAGCTTCCAGGCTTCTGTGAACTGCCGGCCACAGTGGAGACAGCTCAGGGCCTTCAGATCCAAGCGTTCTGCAAAGGAACAAACAAGGGGCATGGGTCAGCACTAGTGGCGGGACACAGGTCAGAACCAGCTGGACACCTGGGAAACACTCCACTGCTGGGTGAAGGGGGCTCAGGGCTACAATGAAACATCAGATGCTTCAAGAACCTTCTGGAAAAGAGCTGTTGGTAGTGGGTGCTGAGTACTCAGTTCCCTCCACTCCCCATTGTGACCCCAAGCAGAAAATAGAGCCAGGGGTCTACACAGTCAGCACACAGCCCAGGCCCACCAGCCAACCATTCTAATCCCAACATAGTACCTCCCCCCCCCTTTAAGATCCTCCTAGGCCCAGCCCCTAATACAACGTGATTTCCCAAGGCCCAGCAGGGCAGGCCCTGGGGGCTGAGAACCCACCCTGTTTGGATTCCTTTCCAAAGGAAAGAAAGGCCCCTAGGAGTCCAGGACGAGTCCTAGCTAGGAGCTGGGGCTTTTCCCGGCATTTGCCTGAGAGTTTTCCCCCAGGGTGGAGAGCCAGAAGCCCCGGCACCAGTCCCAAGGGCCTGGCCCAGCCCTGAGGAGACAGGAGGGGCGGCCACCCCTGTTCCAGCTGGCCCCCACCCCCTCCCCACAGGTCCAGCCACCTGGCCAGTTAGTTATTTCTGTCCAAAGAGAAGGAGAAGTGAAACCACATGGGGAAAGTATGAGGGGGGGGGGGGTGTCCACAAATCCCCAAGCCATTTAACTATCTGGGGCCAGCCACACCCTGTGGCCAGCTCCCCCTCCTCCAGCCTCAGCTTCACCCCTAGTCCCAGGTCCTGGGGAGGGGGAGGCACTGGCAAGCAAGTCCTGGCCCGGCCTCGGCTGCACCAGGAGGGGGAATGAGAAAGGGGAAGTGGAGCTGAGCGGCACCGCCAGTGCCTGGCTGGCCTGTCCACCTCAGCCTCTCTCCCGCAGGAAGTGGGGGGAAAGACTGTGCAAAGGGTCACTCACCTGACACCTGCCTGGGGCTGGGACCGCTCGATGGCTGACACCCCACCTTCTTGTGGTCCACGAAGGCCGTGATGGCGTCCAGCGGGAAGGTCTGCAGGCAGCGGCCGCAGGTCAGCAGATCAGCGTGGTTGTCGGTCCAGCGCTTGTCTGCGGGGAGGGAGGAAGCGGGTGGTGAGCGTGGGTGGAGCCGGACTTGGGTGTGGGGGGGGGGATGAGGGAGAGGGGAAACCCGAAAGTCAGAACCGGGCGGAGGGAGGACTGCTGGGGGGCCAGCACGGGGCAAGAGAGAGAGAGAGAGGAAAGAGACAGACAGACCACCTGGACAGAGCCCCATCCCCGGCTGAGATCTCCCGAGTCGGGTCCGGGCCCGGGCCGCGGCGGGGGACTCACCGGTCACGGGCATCCACACGGCCCAGTGGTTCCTGGAGCCCGAGGCTTGGAAGGAGGGCCTGAAACCCGGGGACTGTTTCTGGGGTTCACCCCCGAATCTCCTCTCCGTCGTGGACAACTCATTGTGGGCACAGGATCCTAGCCCCAGGGCCCGCAGGAAGTGCGGCTCGGGCTCGGGCTTCACGTCTATGATGAGGTCCGAGGTCTCCATCTCGTCGTCCGGGCCGGAGGCGGCGGCGGCGGCGGCGGCGGCGGCGGTGTTGGCGGCGGGCGCGAGGTCTAC